ACAGACACGACACACTTTTAATTTCATTATTAATATTCTCTCCATCACTTTTTAAAAAGGAGTCTCCATCTATGTTATGTCTTTAAAAATGAGACTCCATCTATGTGAAGATTTGTTACATAGATAAATATGAGTCATGGGAGTTCGTTGTACTGATTATTTAATCACCCAGGTATTAAGCCCAGTATCCGTTAATTATTTTTCCTGATCCTCTCCCTCCTCCCACCTCCACCCTCAGATAGGCCCCATGTGTGTTGCTTTCCTCTATGTGTCCATGCTGTTCTCATTATTTGGCTTCCACTTACAAGTGAGAACATACGGTATTTGTTTTTCTGTTCCTGTGTTAGTGTTCTAAGGATAATGGCCTCCAGATCCATCCATGTCCCTGCAAAGGACATAATTTGATTCCTTTTTATGGCTGCTTAGTATTCCATGGTGTATATGTACCACATTGTCTTTATCCCATCTATCATTGATGGGCATTTGGGTTGATTCCATGTCACTGCTATCATCCACCACTTTTTTAAGTCTAAAAAATCAACAATAAAATAAATCAAACTCTGATTTGTATAATCTGCCATTTTCCATGGTGTAAATACTCCCATTATGGTCAATTTCAAGCTATCAACATGACATCACTGAATGAGGCAGTAGGAAGAAATGTGCAGCAGCCCACCATTATATTTTTACCTATAGATACAATAGATGTAAATAACCTCAAGAGTAGAGATAATAGCAAAAGAGTTAGGAAATAATGAGTTTTGAATACTTATTACCTTTGTCTTAATATAATTTATGTGATTATGTTTATACAGTTTAGTGTTTAACAATAGCTGTGCTAACAATCAACTCACACAAATCCTAAAATTTTAACAATCAGCTCTCACAGATTCACAGTTGTACTACACCACTGATTCATAGATACAGGAAGACAGCCTGTGGTATAGCAAGAGTGACACCACGGCCATGATGACTGATGTTTGATTCCTGCATACTAAGATATTCTGCAGCAAGGTTCTTAAACAATGCCCATAGCATAGATAACCCTTCAAAAGAAACAAAGCATGTAGCATAGATAATTACCTCAGTAAGATTCTTATCTAGACTCCCTAGTATTCATGAATTTTGCAAGAAAGTCTGAGATAAGATCAGCTGTACATGTTTTATCCTAAAACCTTACATATTTTCCGGAGGGCAGATGTGGGGATCCACTTTAAGAGAATCATCATTTCTGTTTGTACGTCCCTATTAAATATCTCTTTCAAAGAAACTGGATTTGTCAGCTTTTCTTTGGCCTCTCAGCTCCCTCAGCCTTTGGGGGTAGGTTTGCACATCTATGCTCATACAGGAACAACAGGGAGGCTCTTTCCTTTCCTTACTCCTTACCCACCCTCCAATTTTAAAGCCCTTAACTAAGAAGCAGCAGGGAAGCAGAAAAGACAGAACTTCAGATCCCTTTATCTCTGGTCAGCAAGCTTAGGAGTGAAGAGCATATTAACCTGGTGACTGTTTCTGAGGAGTCAAAGAAATACCAGTGCGTTGCTAAATATTATAGGGTAAGTTAAGAGCTCTTAGTTAGGAGAAGAGCTGGAGCAAGAAAGCAACAATAAATCATTTAGGGTTGCCTGCAGTTAGGTGAGGCTTTAATTGGATGTGTGTCTGGAGTTTTGATAACACGTAGTACCAGACTTTTTATTACCTGAGAATGATCAGATAAGCTAAATTAATAAGCATTTAATTTAGAGGAGAAAAATACATTCACAGAAAAATTATCGAGAATTAAAAATGTTTGCTTTAATTTCTTCCCTATATAGTCCAGCTTGTTCAGTAAATCAGTTACATGAACTATTAAAAACAAAGAAGAGGTTTCGAGGGCAAGATGAATCCAGGCTGTACTCACAGTGAATTGGCAAAAATCAAGATAACAATGAGAAGAGATCCAAGATGCTTCAGAAATTTCAGACTTGAAGATTCAGAGTAGATTACATGAGAGATAGACATCTGGGAGTTAAAAGCATAATAGGTTTGTCAAGGTTATGACCATAGATAAAATCCTTTAGATAGAGAAACATAGTCTATTCAACAGGGCACAGGCAGACAACCATTAATCCTACTAAGAGGCACGCACTGTGCTAGGAAGTTTAAATATGTCGCCTCACATATGTATCAAAGCAACTCTACAAAGTATATCTTATACCCACCTTGCCAATGAGGAAACTAGGGTTCAGATGAGGTAAATAATTCACTGAATAGTCACACAACAAAGAAATTCTGGTGCCACATTTGAATCTAGGTCATCTGACTCAAAAGCTATTAATCTTTAACTACTTATGAAGTGTCATTATTCATTCCCAATTTTTGCAGTTCAAAATTAACCTCAATACTCCTATTCTAGACATTTCTGATATCAACTTGAAGAAGAATGGAAAACTAGATTTTGATGGTAGTTTAAAAGTTGGGAAAGGCCTTCAAGAGATTAGGCAGGTATGGGAGTCAGATGTAAGAACACTATGGAGGGAAATAGAAGAAGATAGCTTTATCTCCTTCAGTTTTTCCAGATGACTCTTGAACTCCCCAACCACTTTTCTTTCTTTCTTCCCTTTTAACCATCTCCTGTATTTCCCATGCTCATTCCTGCTACTAAGCCTTTGGTTCTTGGGATATTTCCTACATGACTTGCCACATCTTCTTCTGAACCTATCCAAATGCTATTGGCCTTTGAGGTTCAGTGTAAGTTCCACTTCTTCTCTGAACCTTTCTTTGCCAACTCCAGTCCTGCTATTCTTTTCCACCCATAAACATACACCATAATATTTAGCAACACACTGGTATTTCTTTGACTCCTCAGAAACAGTCACCAGGTTGATATGCTCTTCACTCCTAAGCTTGCTGACCAGAGCTAAAAGGGATCTGAAGTTCTGTCTTTTCTGCTTCTCTGTTGCTTCTTGGCATTGGGCCTCCCTTATTTGTAGGTGCCCAGTTTTCTTTGCAGTTGCCCTTCCCCTAACCTGTACCTATTGCTGCCCTCCCTGTGGATAACATGTTTCAAGTTACCTATATCTTACTTTTAACCCACCCTACATCCAGTATATGTATCTAATTTAATCAACATTAAGGTGAGATGTACTGAAAGTTCTTTAACTCTTAGACATTTCTAAAAGTTGGATATTCATGCCAGTGTGGCAGGCAGGTAGGTCTTATCCCTACACCACCTTGACAAAAAGCCAGCCTTCAAAAGTGGAACAAAAAAGGAGAGTGTAGAGTCATTACTCCTTTACATTTGAGGAGGCTCCTGCTACTTTGCTTCCCCTCCCATAGACAATGATCTCCCTCCATTTCCCCTGGGAGCTTAAATTCCCCTCTGTTCTTCCTTCCGACTGAATTCCGTAAAGAGGAAACCCCTTTCACAATATACAGGAGGATCTTGACCCTGAACAACGAATCTAGAAGTCTTTAGAAGGACTTCAAGGCAGTTTCATACTGCACCAACTTTCTACTTCATTCAGCACATTTTTGTTGAATATATACTACCTACTAAACATTGGAGATACAAAGGGAGACAAAAATAATCCCTGAGATTAAGTAAGGAGTTTATGGTGGTGGTGGGGTCAGGCAGTAAGAATTTACAAAAAAGTGGGATAAGTCTAAATTTAGAGGATGGCAAGGTGCTACAGGAACACACAGAGAGGACACCTAGTTGTCTTGAGGATGTTAGATAAAGTATCTTAGAGGAAGCAATGGCTTGATGAAACCAAAGGTCAATGAGTTAGCTAGGGGAAAGTAGTTAGGAAAAAGGTATGTGCAAATGCTCAGAAAGAAATTGGCATATCCTGGGATCTGGAAGTGTAGTGTGGCCTGAATGGATCACAGTGTGAGGGAGATAATGTGAAAATAAGGTGAAGCAAGATTAGATCTAAATGGGCTTAAGGAATGTATTTCCTCCTCCTAGAAATGAATGCTTTGTTTGGCTGCTATACTAGTAACAGGAATTAGACACGTTTATTAAACCGCTTACCATTTAACTTGGTAAATCAAAGAACAATGATTTTTATGGTTATCAGTAAATATCTGTAATTAGATACGTGGTAGGCTTTCCTGTTCATATATAATGGTTATTCTCAGTGTTTAAAGAATTAAAGGGACACTGGTAATTACTAGTTTTAGAGTGAGCCATTTGGGAGATAATACCTTACCATTACAATAGTACCTTACCATTACCAATAGTAAAATAATATGAATAGTGAATAATATAGTGAAAACAGTTAGAAATAATTTAGCAATTTCTTAAAAACAATTGACCACCACGAAAAAAATTCACAATAAAACGGAGACTGGGAATGTTTCGTTCAACTTTCAAACATGCTGCTATTGATTGGAAATGTAAGAAATGTTCATTTGTTTTGACAAAATGGAAAGCAACTGTACATTATTACTGGAAACTTTAGCTGAGGTCAACGTTGTAAATGTAAAAGACAATTTCTTAGAGAACAATTCAGTAGTATTGTTTTGCCTTGTCATGAAGAATTTTTGTGCTTCCACAGACAAAAATCTTGGATTGTTAGGTGAACGGTGGCAATGAAGTGGTTTTCAGAAGACTCAGTTTCTTCATCTACAAAAATGACAGAAGTGGGGCCGTCATTCTGCCAGTAAGACATTCTGCCAATAAGTGGGGCTCCTTCTGCCAATAAGAGCATGAGATCTGCGCCTCTAATTTCTCTCAGACACAAATAATGAGAACTTCATACCAATTCATCTATTATATGAAAGCTTTGTCTCTTGAGAATACTGGTGTATCTTTAGATATGTAATTTATCAAACTTCTTTGGGCAACCCATCTTCTTTACTTTTTTATTTTTTATTTTTTGGTCTTCTCTTTGTCAAATTTTTATGGAATAACTACATTCAGGTGCAGTAATACTAACGCAAAGCTCTGAAAATCACGAGACAATTCGTCGCTTCCTAAACGCAGCCGGCAGCAGGCACTCGAGAAGACTAAGTGTGAGCTCCCGAGCACCCGTAGGTCGGATTCCGTGGATAAGGCACCGGAAGTGACCGCTTCTTGGCTGCTTCCTCTCCTGGAGTCCAAAGTCCAGCTGCTCCGCCGCGATATTCAGTAAACCACTGGGAGTCCGGCAGCATGGAGGCAGCGCGCCCTCCCGCGACTGCAGGGAAATTCGTGGTGGTCGGCGGCGGCATCGCGGGCGTCACTTGTGCGGAGCAGGTAGGGCGGTGCTCAGGCGGTTCCGCCTCTTTCCCCTACCCCAAAGCCGGTAGCGCTGAAGGCTTTCCTCCCACCCCCACCCTTTTTCTTCTTCCGGGTTCCTCTTTTGCTGCGCGCTTTTCGCACTTATTGCTCCCAGATTTTAGAAACTGCTTGGTGGTCCTCGTATGGCCTCACTAGCTTTCTCTCCGGCGCAGGGAGGAGTGGGAGGCAAATTATTGCCGAGAAACCAAAGCTGGCAGATCTGTGCTCAGATTCTTGTAATATCAGAGCAGACATGAGGACTTCGTATTTACACAAAAAATTCAGCCCTCTTTTTTTTTTTTCTTTTTATTTGAGACGGAGTCTCACTCTGTCGCCCAGCCTGGAGTGCAGTGGTGCGATCTTGGCTTAATGCAACCTTTGCCTCCCGGGTTCAAGCGATTCTTCTCTTGCGTCAGCCTCACAAGTAGCTGGGATTACAGGCGCCCGCCACCACGCCCGGCTAATGTTTGTATTTTAGAGAAGAGTTTTCACCATGTTGGCCAGGCTGGTCTCGAACTCCTGGGCTCAAGCAGTCTGCCTGCTTCCGCCTAACAAAGTGCTGGGATTACAGGCCTGAGCCACAGCGCCCGGCCCTCAGCCCCCTTTGTTAATTGTCATAGGTGACTGAGTTTAGTTTCCAGATAGTTGCCAAGTCTTTAGTGCACCTTAACTAATTAATAAAGAATCCCATACGTAAGTTTTCTATACTTCGAACTCCCACGATAGAAGATACTTTTATTTCTAGTAATGTTTTATAAAACAATCAGGAAGGATTATGTGCATGTAGGGCATGCTTTCCTGTTGATACTGAATAGCCAGACCGTATATATTCATATTACATGTGTGTATTCCAAAAAGTTCTAGGTTATTTTGTTGATATAAACATGAGCAATCGCTGAAGTCATAAGAAATAGTACAAGAAACTGAAGTGTTTTCATTATTGGATGCGTATTTTTCATGTATTCACTAAGTAAGCATATATGATGCAGGCACCGTATTTAAGGGCTGAGTGTTCAACTGTGAACAGCATGGTTTACCATACTAGGGACCCACAGCCTAGTGGAAGAGACAATGTTGTATGTCTATGCAAGAGATAGCAACGGTTATCTTAGGGGTGCCTGTGGAGTAGGTAGGGAGTGAATTAGGGAAGAGGAATTTTTTTTAATCGAAGGAGGTATTTTTAAAATCTCATTTTGAGAGAATGAGTGAAAGTTCAAGTATTCAAGAAAAGAATGTCATCTCCAGTGGAAAAGCATGGATCATCAGCGAGCAGTAAAGCTTAAAGCATAGATCATAAGGAATCTTACAAATCATGCTAAGAACTTAAGAAGAATTTACAAGTAGTCAGATGTTTTTGAGCGGTGGAGTAACTTGATCATGTGAAAAGGTTTGAAAGATGATTAGTTACAATGTATTTGTGGCAGAGGCAGCTGGTTTATACGTGAAACTGGGGAGCCAATTTGAAGGTGATTTGAGTAGTATAAAGAAGTTTCGAGGACCTCATCTAGCAATGGAAACAGGGAGATAAATTACAGAATATACAAAGGAAAGAAAGATGGAGAGAGTAATAATATTGCCAAATATAGAAAGTTCAAATAGAATGAGACTAAGAAGAATCCCATGGGTGTTGGGCACGATAGCTCACAGTTGTAATTTCAGAACTTTGGGAGGCCAAGGTGAGAGGATTGCATGAGGCCAGGAGTTTGAAGCCAGGCCGGGCAACATGGCAAGATCCCATCTCCATTAAAAACAAGAAAAGAAAAGAAAAGAAATAATCCCTTGGATTTTAAGGATTCATAGATACCTCAAACATGCTGTTTTAGTGATGTAGTAGGAATAGAAGCCAGATTATTGAGGGTGGTGGTGTGGAGGAACCAGACTTTGAGATAAGAAAATGCTTTCAGGCACAGAGTGAAGAAAGAGATTATAGCTAAAGGAAAATAATGAAACATTAACAAGTTATACCTCTAAATTTTGTTGAAGCTATTGTTAAAATGGCTTTATCATCCCACAATATGTACTGACTGGAAGAGGCAGAATAGGAGTGCCGAAGCATTGGGGAAAGTCAGACCAATATTCTAAGTGTTTAATATTGAGGGTTTGCTTTGATTTCATCCCATTGAAGACAAATGAAATATTATTTTAAGATAAATATAAGTTGGTTTAACTGTTAGTTAGGAAAATGGTTTATTCTACTTCTCTGCATTATAACTCTAAATTGGTATACAAAATAGTTGAAGTAAATAAAGGATACTTCTTTTTGTTTTCTTTTTTTTTGAGATGGAGTCTCACTTCGCCCAGGCTGGAGTGCAGTGGCGCGATCTCGGCTCACTGCAAGCTCCGCCTCCCGGGTTTACGCCATTCTCCTGCCTCAGCCTCCCGAGTAGCTGGGACTACAGGCGCCCACCACCGCGCCCGGCTAATTTTTTGTATTTTTAGTAGAGACGGGGTTTCACTGTGTTAACCAGGATGGTCTCGATCTCCTGACCTCGTGATCCGCCCGCCTTGGCCTCCCAAAGTGCTGGGATTACAGGGTGAGCCACCGTGCCTGGCCATAAAGGATACTTCTTTATATCACTTTTCTTGTTCAGCAGTTCTTTGTTAGTGTTTGCTGTAAATATATTATTTTATCAGTATCAGAGTTTACCATTATTTACCATTGCCCTGTAGATAAGGACATGACAGGAGATAATGGAGACCTTTAGATGAGAAGCAGTGAGTTTTTAATTTTCTAGATTAATTACATTATTAAAGTTGCATCATCCTCAACCCCAAACCATATATGCCAGTACTTAATTCGTCCTAATTTTTTTTCTCTCTTTTTAAAAATAAGTTGGCTACTCAGTTTCCATCAGAAGATATTCTCTTGATAACAGCTTCTCCCGTTATTAAAGCAGTTACGAATTTCAAGCAGGTAAGAACCTTTGTATAACTTCTTAATATTAATTTGAAAAAATTGCAATTTAACTTGCATAGCATTAAGGTAACTATTTTTTTCTTTCTTAAATATTGACAAGTACAATTATATGCTGTACAACATGATGTTTTGATATATGTATACATTGTGGAATGGCTAAGTCAAGCTATTTAAAATCTTTCCAATTTTGATGCCTTCTATTTCTTTCTCTTACCTAATTTAATTACTCTAGCTAGGACTTTAGTACTATGTTGAATGGAAGTGTTGAAGAGTGGGCATCCTTGTGTTGTTCTTGATCTTGGAAAAGCTCTCAGCTTTTCACCATTCAATATAGTATTAGCTATAGGCTTGTGTATGACCATTTTTATGTTGAGGTACATTCCTTCTATACCTAGTTGTTGGGCTTTTATTATGAAAAGATGTTTAATTTTGTTAAATTTTTTTTCTGTATCTGTAGAGATGGTCATGATTTTTGTGCTTTGTTCTGTTAATGTGGTATATCACATTTACTGATTTGCATATTTTAAGCCATGTTTGCATCCCTGAATAAATCCCCCTTGATTATGGCGAATTGATGATTTGTATTTTATTGTTGTTATTGTTTTGTTTTTTGTTTTTGTTTTTGTTTCTTTTTTGAGACGGAGTCTCGCTCTGTTGCCCAAGCTGGAGTCCAGTGGCGCAATCTTGACTCATTGCAAGCTCTGCCTCCCAGGTTTACACCACTCTCCTGCCTCAGCCTCCTGAGCAGCTGGGACTACAGGCGACCACCACGATGCCCGGCTACTTTTTTGTATTTTTTAGCAGAGATGGGGTTTCACCATACTAGCCAGGATGGTCTCGATCTCCTGACCTCACGATCCGCCCGCTTTTTTGTATTTTTTAGCAGAGATGGGGTTTCACCATACTAGCCAGGATGGTCTCGATCTCCTGACCTCACGATCCGCCCGCCTCGGCCTCCCAAAGTGCTGAGATTACAAGTGTGAGCCACCACACCTGGCGAATTGATTACTTTTAATATGTTGTTGAAATCAGTATGTTAGTATTTTGTTAAAGACTTTTGCATCTATGTGCATCAGGGATATCGACCTGTAATTTTTTTTCTTGTAGTATCCTTACCTGGCTTTTGTATTGGGTAATGCTAGCCTCATAAAATGAGTTTGGAAATTTTCCCTCCTCTTCAATTTTTTGGAAGAGTTTCAGAAAGCTAGGTATTAGTTCTTTAAATGTTTGACAGAATTCAACAGTGAAGTCATCAGGTCCTGGGTTTTTCTTTGATGGAAGACTTTTTATTGCTAATTTAATCCCCTTACTTATTACTGATCTGTTCAGATTTTCTGTTTCTTTGTGGTTTAATCTTGGTAGGCTGTATGTAGGTATGTATCCACTTCTTCTAGGTTGTCCAATTTGTTGGAATATAATTATTCCTAATAGTCTCTTATGATCCTTTGTATTTATGTTGTATCAGTTGTAAAGTGTCCTCTTTCATTTCTGATTTTATTTACTTGAGTCTTGTCTCTTTTTCAGTCTAGCTAAAGGTTTCTCAGTTTTTTTGTATTTTCAAAATAACATCTTTTTGTTTTGTCGATCTTTTCTATTGTTTTTCTAGTCTCTACTTCATTTATTTCTGCTCTGCTCTTTGTTTCCTTCTTTTCTTTAATTTTGAGCTTAGTTTGTTCTTAGTTTTCTAGTTCCTTGAGATGTAACCTTAAGTTGTTTACTTGGTATCTTTCTTTTTTGATATAAGTGATTATTGCTGTAAACTTTGCTCTTAGAACTGCTTTTGCTGAATCTTGTAAGTTTTGGTATGTTGTGTCTTCATTTTAATTAGTCTCAAGATATTTTTAATTAAAAAAATTCTTTCTTGACCCACTGGTTCTTTAGGAGAATGTTGTTTAATTTCTAAATATTTGTGAATTTTCTGAAATTTCTCCTGTTACTAATTTCTAGTTTTATATCATTGTGGTAGGGAAAAGGTGCTTGATATGATTTCATCCTTGTATTTGTTAAGACTTGTTTTGTGACCTATTGTGATTTATCGAATGTTCCATGTGCGCTTGAAGAGGATGTGTACTCTGCTGCTAAGTGAAATATTCTGTATGTGTCTGTTAAATCCATTAGTTCACATCCAGTGTTTTATTTGCAATAATCTTTTCATTGTTGAAAGTGGGGCACTGAAATTCCCTACTCTTTTATTTTTTGAGACAGAGTCTCGCTGTGTCACCAAGGCTGGAGTGCAGTGGTGCAATCTTGACTTACTGAAACCTCCATCTCCCAGATTCAAGTGATTCTCCTGCCTCAGCCTCTCGAGTTGCTGGGACTACAGGTGTGTGCCACCATGCCTAGCTAATTTTTTTTTGTATTTTTGTTAGAGATGGGGTTTCACCATGTTGGCCAGGGTGGTCTTGAACTCCTGACCTCAAGTGTTCCGCATCCCTTGGCCTCTGAAAGTGCTGGGATTACAGGTGTGAGCCACCGTGCCCAGCCACTCCTACTTTTTTTATACTGCAATCTGTGTCTCTCTTCATATCAGTTAATATTTGCTTTATTATTTAGGTGCTCTGATGTTAGGTGCATATATATTTACAGTTATATCTTCATAGTGAATTGTTCTCTTTACCATTTTGTAATGACCTTTTTTGTTTCATTTTACATTTTTTTACAAATGGTTATTTTATCTGGTACAGTTACATCCACTCTCTTGTTTTCTCTTTGCGTGAAATATCTTTTTCTCTCCTTTTCCTTTTCCTGTGTGTCTTTACAGGTGAAGTAAATTTCTTGTAGGTAACATGTAGTTAGATCTTGTTTGTTTATTCATTCAACCACTGTTTCTTTCACTTGAGAATTAGTCCATTGATATTCAAGGTAATTGTTGATAGGTAAAGACTTACTGCTGCCTTTTTTTGTTAATTGTTTTCTAGTTGTTTTGCAAATCTATATTCCTTTTTTCTTTCTTCCTGTCTTCCTTCTAATTAAATTATTGGTATCCTACTTGAATACCTAATTACTAATTGGTATCCTTTCCTTTCAGTTTGAAAAGCTCCCTTTAGCATTTCTCTAGTGGTAGCTTCGATTCCTTAATCTTTTTGTATTTAGTGTATGTTTTTGATTTGTGGTTATCATAAGGCTTATGTAAAACAATTATAATGGATTTTTTTTTTTTTTTTGAGACGGAGTCTCACTCTGTCGCTAGGGCTGGAGTGCAGTGGCCAGAGATCAGCTTACTGCAAGCTCCTCCTCCCGGGTTTACACCACTCTCCTGCCTCAGCCTCCTGAGTAGCTGGGACTACAGGCATCCGCCACCTCGCCCTGCTAGGTTTTTTTTTTGGTATTTTTTAGTAGAGACGGGGTTTCCCTGTGTTAGTCAGGATGGTCTCGATCTCCTGACCTCGTGATCCACCCGTCTCGGCCTCCCAAAGTGCTGGGATTACAGGCTTGAGCCACCGCGCCTGGCTATAATGGATATTTTAAGCTGAAAACTACTTAACTATGACTACATAAAGTAACTCTACACTTTTACGCTACTCCTCTGCCATATTTTATGTTTTTGATACCACAATTTACCTCATATTATATATCCCTTAAATTATTGAAGCTCTTGTTATATTTATTAGTTTCGTCTTTAATAGTTTTGTGTAAGCCAAATATATAAGTGGCTTACACACCACCATTACAATTTTAGAGTTTTCTCAGTTTGACTGTGTAGTTACTTTTACCAGTTAATTTTTATATTTTCACATGTTTTCATGTTACTAACTAGTGTCCTTTTCTTTCAGTTTGAAAAACTCCCTGTAGCATTTCTTGTAAGACAAGTCTGGTGGTGAAGAACCCCCTCAGCTTTTATTTGTCTGTGAAGGTCCTTATCTCACTTTCATTTCTGAAGGACAGCTTTGCCAAGTACTGTATTTTTAGTTGGCAGTTTTGTTTTTTGTTCCTTCAGCACTTTGAGTATATGATTTGTGTTAGGCCTTTCTTGCATTGCTATAAAGAAATACCTGAGGCTGGGTGATTTATAGAGAATAGAGGTTTAATTGGCTCATAGTGCTACATGCTGTATGGGAAGCATGGTGCCAGGATTCTGCTCAGCTTCTAATAAAGCCTCAGGAAGCTTACAATCATGGTGGAAGGCGAAGAGAGTAGATGTATCGCATGGTGAGAGCAGGAGCAAAGGAGAGAGTGTGAGGGGAGGTACCACACATGTATAAACAACCAAGTCTCGCAAGAACTCATCATCGCAAGGACGGCATCAAGCCATGAGGCATCTGCTCCCGTGATTTAGCTTCTCCCACCTCCAACACTGGGGATTACATTTCAACATGAGATTTGGCACGGACAGATGTCCAAATCATATTATTTTTTCATTTTGTCCTGGCCTGTAAGGTTTCTCCTGAGAAATCTGCTGTTAGCCTTTTGGAGACTCTCTTATTGTGATTTGCTTTTCTCTTTCTGCTGTAATGGCCCTCTCCTTGTTTTTGATTTTTGACAGTTTAATTATAATATGTCTTGGTGTAGCCTTATTTGGATTAAATCTGATTAGAGACTTTTGACCTTCTGGTTCCTGGATATTTATATCTTTCTCCAGATTCGGAAAGTTTTTTATTGTTATTTCTTTAAATACACTTTCTACTCCTTTGTCTCTCTCTTCTCCTTCTATAACTCCTATAACTCAAAGATTTGCTTCTTTCATGCCATCTTTTAAATTCCATATTTTTACATTCTTTTCATTCTTTTTTCTTCTTCGTTTTTGACTGTGTATTTTCAAATAATCTGTCTTTAGATTCACGGATTTTTTCTTCTGTGTGATCAGTTCTTTTGTTGACATAGTCTGTTGCATTTTTTTGTTTGTTTGTTTCATCCATTGCATTTTTCATTGCCAGAATTTCTGCTTTATTTTTTAATAACTTGTCTTTTTAAATTTTTTGTTTTGGTTGCTTATTGTTTTCCTGATTTAATTGAATTGTTTGTTTGTAACTTCTTGAAGTTCCTTCAGCTTCTTTAAACAATTATTTTGAATTCTTTGTCAGGCAGTGGTTTTTTGTGTGTGTGTTCTTTTAGTGGCATGTCTTCTTGGTTTATCATGTTTCTTGTTGCCATTTCTTTCTGTTCTTTTGGTGGCATGGCTTCTTGGTTTATCATGTTTCTTGCTGCCATATGTTGATGTTTGCACATTTGATGACACACTCACTGTTTTCACAAGTATGGGCTAGTTTTGCTGTGGAAAGACCTTCCCCTATGGGGAGGGCTGCTTGTTGGATAGGATGTAGCAGTACTGGCACCAGTGAGGATCCATGCAGCTCTGTCAGCTGAGTTAATTGTTGAAGATTGCAGGGATCCTCAGCATCCAACTCTGGATGTCTGCAGTGGTAGTGAGGGTTGTTGGGGTTTTCATTGTCGGTGGCGGCTAAGAGTCTCCCAATCACAAGGAAGTTGTGGCTTAGGGGATCCCAAGTGGCACTGAGTCTGCCTTCAGGTTCAGTGGCAGCAGCACTGGTGTCTGATAAGTGGTGCCTATGGAGCAGTGATAGAGCTGAGACCCAAAACCCAGGCATACATGGAGGAACAAAAGCTCTGGGATCTGGGACAGTAATGACATTGTTGCCTAGAGTGCAAGTACCCATACTGCTGTATTGGTAATAGAATGTGAGGTGAGGATGCTTGTGAAGCAGCCAGGGAAACCAGGAATGGGAACACAGGTGTGCTCAAAGTTATAGCAGCTTCATTGTCAGGGAAGGGCCTTGCTTTCAACTGTGGCTGAGCCAGTGCCTGGATTTCAGACATGTGCAGTGAGGCTTGGTTGCAGGGCCCAAAGTGCAAACTAGCTTACTATGGTGATGGCTCTGGTGTCTGAGATGTAGGTGGGCCCAGTGCAGGCCATAGACCCTGGGTCTGATGTGTGGGATTGGGATTGGGACACTATGGGGTTGAGAGATGAAGTGACTCCTTTCCCAAAGCATCTTGACATTGGCCACTTCTTTGTGAAGACAAGCTGTGCCGCCATGTCTCCCTCTCTGGGGTTCCCTGGCCAAAATGGTGGTTGGATCCGTCACAGTAGCAAGGAATGCCAGTTTCCTCTGCAGTGCAGGCCACCATGGACCACAGTGCTCTCCACCATGTGACTGATACTGATAGCCTCTGCCTTTCTTTGCTCCTAGCCATTTCCTGGTTTCTCAGGTGTGCCAGGGTCATTATTGATTCTTATGATGTGGCTGTTCTCCATTTTCTTGCTCCACTGTGTTGCTGTAGATTGTTTAATGGGCCCTTGAGCCCTCTTTGGGCTATTTTGGCTTGTGAATAGTTGTCTATATTTGTTTTGTTGTTTTTTTTTAATGGGGGAATGAAGGCTGCTATCTCCTACTTAGCCATCTTGATGACAATACCGCCATGCATTCTGGAGTGTTCTAATTGTTTAAAATTACAAATATTCTTTTGACAGTCATTTGAAAAAACCTCGAGTTGAGAATTATTCACATAGAATACCGAAAGCTCCCAGAATTATACTGAATTTTTAGTCTTCTATTCTTTTTCTCCATTTTCCTTCCACTTAGAATTACTTTTGAGAAAGTTGCCAATAAAAATTTTCCAGGAAAGATGCTCTGCAAATCTAAAATGGATACAAATATACATGTAGATATTTTTTATAAGTATGGGTGGGGTGTGTGTATGTGTGTTTGCAAATCAGAAAAGTACTTCCAAGCCAAGTTTATACTTACAGATAATTGGTGTTTCAGATATGTAATAAGCATCTCGGAATACTTTGTATTCCATTAATTTATGTTCACATTATAATAGGAATCTAAGAACAGTGGGGTCATAGTATAGAAAAGCCATCTCCAAACTTTTTTGATCCTGTAGCTCAACTGTTAAAACGTTTTGCCTTGACATCCCAATATATGTGTACTAATAAGTTATATGCGTGAGCTACAGAACTACAATTATAAATATTATAAAGCCTATGCAAAATAAAATTTATAAAATGGCGAAAAACGTAGGTTCTGTCTTTCTTCCTACCCTTCAGTGAAGACTACTACCATAGCCCTTCATTTAATACGATGTTTCTTGTAATATCCTGATAATGGAATATAATTTTCTCATGTTGTAAACCTGTAAGACCAAGGGGCCGGGCGCGGTGGCTCAAGCCTGTAATCCCAGCACTTTGGGAGGCCGAGACGGGCGGATCATGAGGTCAGGAGATCGAGACCATCCTGGCTAACACGGTGAAACCCCGTCTCTACTAAAAATGCAAAAAACTAGCCGGGCGAGGTGGCGGGCGCCTGTAGTCCCAGCTACTGGGGAGGCTGAGGCAGGAGAATGGCGCAAACCCGGGAGGCAGAGCTTGCAGTGAGCTGAGATCCGGCCACTGCACTCCAGCCAGCCAGGGCTATAGAGCAAGACTCCGTCTCAAAAAAAAAAAAAAAAAAAAAAAAGACCAAGGGTAGTTTAGTGGCATATACCATGTTGTCCCTTTATAACCTAAGCAGAGATACACATGATATCTTACTAGTTAGGTATAGCCAAAGAATTAAGGAGTTTGGGAGAAATAGAGGAAAAATTATAGCTATTAATCTTTAAAAGGTAAAAGTACATATTTAATGACAGGCTGAGACTGTATACATAAGAGAATGATGTATAGCTGGGTCCCATAATTATCTTTCCAGAAGACCTAATTCAGTATAATAATCCAAGAGTTGTGAGACTTGAATTCAGTGTTTGCCAGTTTTGTAAGTTATGCACAGTAGAAGGAAAAAACTTGGTTTCTAGGCCTCTTATTTACTGGTCGGGTAGCCTTGGAAGAGCTCTGTAAGCTGCTTCTCCTGTAGTATTAATACTTTCCTTGCTTACTTCACAGGGTTGGGAGCTTAAATGTGCCAATAACAAATATACAAATACCAGCTATTCTGTGTACAGCAGTAGGAAATGGCATTATCTTTATGATTTATTGAGTACCTATATTATAAGCCAATGTTCTAGGCACATAAGATACAGAGATTAAAAGTATAGAACATAACACCAAAAAGTCACTAGTGCTTATCCTGAGGGATTACGGATGAGATTTGGAGAGGGATAAAGAGAGACTTTAACATTTACTCTCTATTATGTATTGTTTGTTTAGTGTTACAAAGAGCATGATTCATGACTTGTATAATTTTTAAAGGAGAAAAAAGATTACTACTGATAATTCATATTTATTAAGTGCTTACCATGCACCAAGTAGTCTTCTAAAGGTTTCAAATATATGATCCTTAAATAAACCTAGAAGTAGGCTCTTACATAATTTGTAAGACCGTAGAGGGGTCACGAGACCAAAAGGTTTGAGAACTGTCAAGGCCATGCAGTAAGATTTCCATGCAGTTTTTAAGGAGCAGCTGAGGTTGAATATCAATCTGTAAGGCTGTGTGGTCTTTCTGCAGCAAAGTGGGCTTAGGACTAGAGCAAGTAGATAATTTATAGGGTTGGGGATTTTCAGGTTAACAGTTTAGGATAAGAGAGCAAGGAAGTGAAGGATTTAGGGAAAAGGTGAAATGATTCACAACTGAACTTTAACTGGACAGAAAGGAAAGTGAGTCTAGAAGAATACTGATGGTTTTATAGAACAGGAAGGAAGAGTGCAAAGACTAGATGACCATAAGGTCTGCTAGTAAAGAGAGAGTGAAAGCTTGAAGGATAAGGAAATAAATAAGCTGTTTGACTAAACTGTAGAAATGTAAGTGGTGTTACCCCTCATTTTACAGGTCAGTTCTCATTTTATTAGCTGGGAAACTATGGCTTATAACACCTGACTTGCCCAGGAGCGGCCAAGCAAATATTTAAGTCTCTAAATGCTGAATGTAGTCCTCTTTCCACTCTATATAGTGCAGTTGGCTAACTTTTTTGTTTTACAAACACAAAATAGTGTATAAAAGCAAAGTATTTTTATTATTTAAGTTCTTGAAAGAAAATACTTTAAAAATATACATTTTTAATCTCTTTGATCTGTACAGATTTCTAAAATATTGGAAGAATTTGATGTTGAAGAACAATCAAGTACCATGTTAGAAAAACGCTTTCCCAACATTAAGGTTATAGAATCTGGCGTAAAGCAACTGAAGAGTGAAGAACACGTAAGATAATTGTTTTCTTAATAACGTTTTCCATTATTGAATCTTGATGAGGTTTTGCCTGCCTTCTTTTCACTCCAGCTCTACCACCACCACCATTTAAGTTTTTAATATGTAAAGTTTAGTGACATTGATTTCCAGTATTATTAGAAAAAATACAGTTTTTGTAAGTTTATTGGAATTATATAATTAGATTTGGGATTTTAGTCTTCACGTTTCAAATTACATTAATGTTTATAAAGTGTCCACTGTGTTCTGGTTACTGCATTAGGTGCTGGGATGCAGTAGGGATAATACGAGGTGTCTGCTCCTAGGAACTGTCAGTGTCAAAGGGAATATGAACATGCGTACTATAGTTATATTGATATATAAAAAACACAGTCACTGAAATACTATCAAAGCTCTGATATCAGGGATTTAGGAAGACTTCACAGAAAGAGTAAACTGAGCTGGGTATTAACAGATGAGTGAAATTAAGAGTTCGCCAGGTGGAAAGGGGCATTCCAGGAAGAGGAGGTTGAATGTACAAAGACCCAAAGAAAGGAAAAGAAATATGAAGAATAGAGATGTCAAAGGGATTAGGGTATAGTTAAGTAAAGGAGATTGGCAATCAAGGCTAGAAGCTAAGTAAATAAGATCCTGAAGGGTTTTTAATGTCATACTATAAGAAGTTGAGTTTGTTTTATATTTGGGAGAAATTGTAAGGTGATTTTAAGAGCTGGGACATCAATAATAAAATTGATTTTTTTTTTTTTCTAAGGAAGATGCATCTGATAGGAGTGTTGAGAGTGAACAAGTGGCCAGTAGCCAACTGAATTAGAAGGTGGTTATGATAGTCAAATATTACGTAAAGGGTGAGGAAATTATGTACAGGCTCACACCTATAATCCCAGCACTTTGGGAGGCCAAGGCAGGCGGATGGCTTTAGCCTAGAAGTTCTACTCTATCTAGCCTGGGCAACGTAGCAAAAACCCATATCTACAAAAAATATACAAAAAATTAATCAGGCATGGTGGCGTGCACTTGTGGTCCCAGCTACTTGGGAGACCGAGGTGGGAAGATCACCTGAGCCTGGGAGTTCAAGGCTGCAGTTAGCTGTGATTGTGCCACTGCACTGCAGCCTGGGCAACAGAGTGAGACTCTGTCTCAAAAAGAATAAACAATTTTTAAAAAAATTGGTTTGAAAAATGATGTAAGACCTGAACTGAGACAGGGACAATGTAGTTGTAAAAAATATCCAAGATTTGAGTGAGATTTCTACTATAAATTCAGCAGGACTCAGTAACCCTTTGCATGAGAATGAAGAAGGCAGTCTCAGGAAAGGATGTAGTTAGATGATCTACAGTATCCTCAGATGAGCTTTAGGCAAGATAAGAAGTAGGTTTATAGTTGTTTGTATAAGGCAGTTCTAATTTATGAGGTCTAACCCATAAATTAGAGATGTGTTTTATCTCCTTTAGGGATAAAACACATACCACATTTGAAACACAAGTAATTTGAGAGAAAAAAGTAAAAGTACTGAATTTTATCAGAAACAAGAAAAAATCTGAATCCCCAAACCAGATAAGTTTCTAATATTTATAGTGGTATTACATATTCCAAGTAATATCATTGTCAATTTATTTTGTATTTGAGGTGGGCTCTCACAATATGCTAAATGTATTGTGAGGGAATTTATGTGTTAGGGCATTTGAATGAATCAGAATGCCTCCCATTACCATTTGAAAAATATCCCACATGCAGTGCATGTCTGCCTTCTCTTATCCATTGTCCTTTACATTTTTTTTTTTTAACAGTTTATTATAATTTCTTTTATTTAACAATCTAAGAAGTTCGCAGCCATCAGCAGTTCTAGTGCTATATTTCAGGTGCCGTTGGGAGTTTGGGAACTTGGTGGCGCTGTTAGTGTAGCGAACTTTGTATGTAAAATACATGCATACTTTTGATAGCACATGTGAAGGTATCTCTCTAAAATTGACCTCATTGGTTTCATTCTCAGCAAACTGACCTGGGCCACTCATGGCTTTTATCGTGTCTGATGTTAATGCATGTTCTCTTTTTACCATAAATTCATGGCCATCAGATGATATCACTTTCACATACTTGGCATCAGGGCCTTAACAGCCAGCATAGGTTTTCTCCTCTCCATCCATTTTTTTTTCCTTCTTGAGACGGAGTCTTGCTCTGTCGCCCAGGCTGGAGTGCAGTGGTACAATCTCAGCTCACTGCAAGCTCCGCCTCCCAGGTTCAGGCCATTCTCCTGCCTCAGCCTCCCGAGTAGCTGGGACTACAGGCGCCCTCCACCACGCCCAGCTAATTTTTTGTATTTTTAGTAAAGACGGGATTTCACCGTGTTAGCCAAGTTGGTCTGGATCTCCTGACCTCGTGTTCTGCCCCGTCTCGGCCTCACAAAGTGCTGGGATTACAGGCGTGAGCACTGCGCCAGGCCTCTCTCCATCCATTTTGTTTTTATGAAATGCTACTGTGCTTCCCCAGGAACTTCAGTAGTTTCCTGATGAGGTGAGGATGCAGAGTGTGTCACTCACTTCTGTCTGGAGAATTGTCCTTTACATATTTTAGTGAATTTGAGATAGTATGTTTTACTTTCACATGCTCCTGGCAAAAAATTTAGCAGTGTGGAGAGAGTTTTTGTGTGTGTTTGTGCTGTTTGTTTTTACAGCAACTAAATGCAAATTATTTTTTAAGTTTTGTCAGTGCCTGTAATTAACTTTTGTCTTGTCAGATAAAATTCGTTAATTGAGCATTTATCTGAAGAAGACTTGTATAAATTTCTATATGGTTATGCTTATGTGGAATTACTGAGTTTTATGTAGTTTGTTTCTGCAACTGGAAGAGTTACATTTGGCGTTATAAGCATGGTCTCATTGGGGTATTAAGTGCTTATGGGATACAATTTTTGGCCAAGGTTTGTAAATCAAATAATTGGCACAAACATGAAACGCTTAAATCATTCAAACAAGTGGAACATCATCTCATAAGTATGCATGCCAGTTTATGTTTAAATGTTTTCTAAAGGCTACTCTTAGATGTTAGTTTTTCATTCAGTATTTAAAGCAACGAAAAGCACTAGATCTCTGATGTGTAGTTTTAGACCATTTAAAGTTATTAAAAATTAATATAAATTTAAAGCAATACCATGCTAGGATTAAAGATTATATGTTCTTTTACTATACTAAAATATACCCCAGAAAGGCATTTTGTTCGCTAGTAAAGTCATTATTTTTACTTATAGATATTAAATATGCTTTTTTTTTTAATAGCACTTCCTAGTCTTTTTAGATTAAAGGAAGATATACCATAACTTCTTTCACCATCCACTGCATTTCTCGTACTCATTAATAGATACGAAGGTATGTAAAGATTATGATTAAGAATTAGGTGCCTGTAGAGTCTTTGCTTACGCGCAGTAAAGTCTGTTCCCTGTTGATGAAGTCAGGAGGAATTCTTCCAGTGGCAAGGCATGCAAGCCGTGGGTCACAGCGGTGTAAGATGAGAACCTTAATTGAAAGAAAGTGTCGCTTGAAAGTTTGTGTTGTTGTAATGCTGTGGGTGCTAACATACCTTTGTCAAGGCAACATGGGATTCCCTGAAGTTTAATGTAAAACTTGCGGGTGAAGTGGTACCTGTTTTTATTCCGAAGGGTGGAGAAAGGCTGGTGTTCACAGAAGGATGCTCAGAACAATGTTCATGGCTTGTACTTAAGAGATGGAGTAAGCAATAACTGGGATCAATGCGTGTATTGTTGTCGATGCTTAGTTGTTTGTAAGTTGCTATAGACACAAGAACTGTCATTTCACCAAGAGGCAAGCCTTAATGATGGTTACGTTTGCTTTTGCCCTTTTGGAATTTTTTAATTTAAGACCGGGAAAGTTGTAGTGCGCCATGTTGATATGTGTCCCCCTTTCTCGATTGTTTGAGGGGTATTTTACAGTGGCATGTGTAACAGAAGAGGATGGCAACAGCCACTGGGTAGTATAAGAACTCTGGTCGCTGTGCTGTGTGCTTGGGGGGGGGGGGGAGCGTAAATGCCGGAATTGATATTTGCTGAGAGGAAATGCCTTATGGTATTTAGAATCCGTGATACAGGACAGTGCTCAGGTAACAGGGTTTGGAAGTGTTGAATCAGTGGGGAAGGGAACAATAAAAGACTTTTTCTACTGTTTGAATAGTAACTGTTTCCAGCTTATGATGTTCTAAGGTTATAATGGGCAGGGAAGGGACGATTTTGTCGTCGCATGACCAATAATACCACAGCAGGGGTTGGCTGATGTTTTATTCCCCACCGCACGATTTTCTCTTTCTGTTGTGTGTGTCGCTCCTCGCTTGTTGAGTTGAGTCTCCCTCTGTCACCCAGGCTGGAGCTCAGTGGAGCGATCTCAGCTCACTGCAAGCTCTGCCTCCTGGGTTCACACCATTTTCCTGCCTTAGCCTCCTGAGTAGCTGCCATTACAGGCGCCTGTCACCACGCTCGGCTAGTATTTTTTTGTATTTTTAGTAGAGACGGGGTTTTACCATGTTAGCCAAGATGGTCTCGATCTCCTGACCTCGTGATCCGCCTGCCTCGGCCTCCCAAAGTGCTGGGATTACAGGCATTAGCCACCGCGCCCGGCCTATTCCTGTCAATTTATTTAGTTTTTAGTTGATATTATGTTTTTAAGTTCATGCTGATGTGTTATCAGCATGAGATAACCCAGATATAATGACTCTGCTGAATATTAACAACTTGCAGTACACACACATTCATTACTCTACTTTGGGAATATGTGATTTGCAGCCTAAATAATATAACACATACATACCACATTTGAAGCACAAGTTTTTTCCAAAAAGGTAAAAGCAATTCAAAAATTACGGATCTTATTCTCCAGCAAAAAAAATTCAAAAGATCTTTGTGGTATAAAATCATGATAGAATCATAGAACAGAAAAAGTCCCTTGGCTTATTGTTCTGCCCTAGATAAACTGTCCCAATAAGGTGAAACATCTGTATTTGGAGCATTATACAACTTCCTTTTGGTAATTTAATTCAGGGCTTATTAACCCTTATTGCCGAGAAGCTCTTCCTGGTTTCACAATACTATGTCTAACCTCAAGTTTGTTGTTCTGTCTCATGACATGATGATTTTGCATTAATATAATTTATATTCTGAAAAATTAATAAGGTTTTCTTTCAGCCTATTTGTCTCTTAATTAGGAATTGAGAGAAAATTTAAAGGAACTTGATTATCTTCTTGTAAACAGTTTAAGTTCATATTATCGGAGATTGAGCTCATAACTGTTTCAGCTAGGTCTTCTACATACATGAACTCATTGAATCCTCGTGATAATCCTGTGTGACGATTATTACTCCCACTTTACAAATAGGAAACTGAGATTGAGAGATTAATTATGTGTCTGTACTAATTTAGCTATTAAGTTTATCAGATACACAATTTAAACTTGTGCTTTTCACCTCTAGGTCTAGTGCTCTTATAGGTCTTTCTTAAATTGCAATATCCTCAATGAAGAACAAACTAAAATAAACTTCAGTGGTTTTTTTTCTTGGAGAATTTTAAAGATATCAGCTTCAGTGAATATTATAAGTTTGGAGATAATAGAAACTTAGTAGGAGGGGGGAATTTTTCTGTTCAGATGTCATTTTGAAGCAATGAGACTATTCTATACTTTCGAAAGTGCCCAAAGAATTACCACTGGCTTCTGTAAGCTCATTGTGGTCTTTTTTTCTGGAGGGTGGAGGCATCAATTTATTTGTCTTAGAAGGTTAATAACATTTTTTTTTCCCGTAAACGTTTGACATTATTGTGCACCTGCTACTCCTACCAGCTTTGTCTGTATCATCTCATGTAATCTTTACAGAAGCATCAGGATATATAGTCACTTATCATTTCCATTTATTTATTTATTTATTTATTTTGAGACAGAGTCTTGCTCTATCACCCAGGCTGGAGTGCAGTGGCGCTATCTCGGCTCACTGCAAGCTCTGCCTCCCGGATTCATGCCATTCTCCTGCCTCAGCCTCCCGAGTAGCTGGGACTACAGGCACCCGCCACCATGCCCAGCTAATTTCTTTTTGTGTTTTTAGTAGAGACAGGGTTTCATGGTGTTAGCCAGGAAGGTCTCAATCTCCTGACCCTTGTGATCCACCTGCCTCAGCCTCTCAAAGTGCTGGGATTACAGGCCTGAGCCACCACGCCCGGCGGATCATTTCCATTTATAGTTGAAGGACGTGAGGTGCAGATAGGGTAAGCAACTTGCAAAGTCATTCAGTTAGTAATTGCTAGAGCCAGTGCTTCCAGAGTCTGCTCTTAACCACTGTGCTGCTGAGCTTCTCATTCCTCATTCCTGGAAGTTTTGAGTGTTGAGTAACTCTAGGGAAACTGAGAGTCCAGGCAAAAAGAAAGAATAATTGATTTGGTCAAATAGTTGGGAATGTGGTAAGTTAATAGTGCCTCCTGCTGAAATTCTGAAGTACTGTAAATGTAATGACCTAAAAGGAAGGGAAAATCAGGAGAGGCATTGCTATAAAAGCAGCTTGGGATAAAGTAGAAAAGGGCACTTTTGTAATATTAACTGAGAAGGACGTACCCTGATAGAGTGGGAAAGTGAGATTCATTTTTTTTTCTTTACAAATTCAATAAAATATTTACATTTTTAGAATATTATCATTGAAGCCTCTTATTTCAGATATTGCCCGCTATTACAAAATACTACCTCATTATTTTCTTTTTAACATAGGAATTTCAGAAACAGCTTACTAAAGCTAAAAGAATAATGATCATAGGGAACGGTGGTATTGCACTTGAGTTAGTGTAAGTATCTATTTTTAAATATAACATATTTAAATTGTTTAAAAATCATTTGTTTTTAAATTTAACAATTGCTTTGTGATTCATGTGATTTGTTGGCAGACTGGAAAATGTTTTTTATTCTGAAAAGCAAAGATAAATATAATTTTCATATGTTTTCAAGGGGAAAAATTCACCTTTTTTTTTTTTTTTTTTAGCTTTTGTGGACTCCATAATTGTAGAAATTTTGTTATAAAATATATATGTTTTGGGAATGCTTTAGGTCTCAAGGTGGTTGGCCAAATTTGGCCCCTAAATGTGTTTTATAAGTATATTCTACATTTAAAAATAATTTAAATATTTGCACCTTTTGAGATTTCTAGTGATAACCCTCACCACTTTTTATTGCTTATATGATAAATCCTGCTTCACTCATTCATGTTACCTGTCTGGCCAGTGTAACCCAAAATATATGTGACTCCTGTTTCAGGATATGTGGTTCTTCCAGCTCTTGGTTTTTGGTGGCTTAGGAAATATGAACACATTAATTAATATGAAATATTTTCATCTTAAGATGACATTACAAGTTCAAAAACCATTGAGAAATATCCCGCTGTGGCCTGCAGAAGACTGATTCACTTCGTGATTTTATCCTCTAGCAGATGATTGACATGAAATAGTCTGGATCTTTTTCAGGCCATAAAGTTGGGTCAGACCACAAAGGACAAATTTGAATCCAAACAAGGACTCTTCCAAAGCCATATCTCTACTCATTTGCATTCAATCCAACTCTCAGACTAGGTTTTTGCCCCGCTTTTAGAGGATGATCTGACCCAGTGGAAGCCTATAGGAGTTCTTAAATTGCCTGAGTCCTATGGGTAGCAGTCATTATTATTATTATGAAGTTTGTGGCATTGTATGGAGAAATACAGAGAAAGGGTCAAAACCAAAATGTGGGCCAAGAGGGAAGAGGTATAGATTTATTGTAAATGGGGTTTCAAATCCGTGTGTATAATATATACATGACAGGTTTTCTCCATCAGCTATCACCAAAGTATCACTATTATTGTAACTGTCATTATTTACATTTAAAAATTTTATGTTCAAAAATGTTCAGAGTCTTACATTTAATCCGATTCATCATTTTCTTTAAGTTGGAGATTGAAGACAGTATAATTGGATAAAACTTATAATTTTGTATTTAGTAAGCTCTTCTTTGATAAATAAAAATGGACCCACATAATGTTATTCTCTGACTTTAGTTCTGCTAAATGATTAGGTCTTTGTCTGTCATGAAACTTGGCATACTCATACCCTTTCTACACTGTGTTTCAGTGAAAGTAATACTCATGTTCTTCATTATACATTTTTTTCAGTTATTATCTGTTTTCTTGTTTCTAAGTGTAAGTTAATCCTTTCCTTTTCAAACAGATACTGTTTTTCATAACTTCACAAAACTGCAATACCTCATTGTCTGTTTTTGTAGACTCATTTTAAAAATGAAAGCATATTTCCCCTCTGTATGTGATAATTGTCAAACTTGTGCATCTTGCATAGTTCAAGTTAGGAAAAGAGGATTAGAAGGTGTCTTCAGAGGTAGAGCAAGTACTGAAGTTTCTTGTGGTTGCTTGTAATAACTTCGTCTGCTAGTCAGTCATCAGTATGTTAAACTACACTGATAGGTGTTATATTGTAATATTACTTTAAATTTAAAAATGGTAATACAAATTCCCAGTTTATCAAAAAGAAAGCATTACATGATAACTGTATGTCTGTATGTAAATTGAAATACAAACTTTTTTTACCAAATGTGTGTGTATTCCACTTTCCACTGGTCAGTAATGCTATATGACAGAGTAACATAAAATTGAATGTCACCCACTAATCTGAAATTTGGTGACTAAATGTTTACTGACATAGGAGAGCTGGAAAAGTAAGACTTATTAGATGAAGCAAGGAGCTCCTTATCACCATATGTTGAAAAGTGTGAATATCAAGTGACCTGGATTCAGATGTACTAAACCCTTTTTCTGTAATCTGTTTATTGATTAGTTTTGAAAAGTTGTATAACCTATGTTATATCAGTCTGCAAAATAAAGATGGCAATACTTTGTACCGTAAAGAAATGTGAAAATTTAATACCTTAACTTTTTAATTACAGTATTTTATTAGTATTGCAAGTTTAGATAAAATCCTATTATAGTTAGGATGGCCAATATATCTTGTTTGACTGGGATTGTCTCCATTTCCACCAGTTGTACCAAAAATGATTATTAGTAGCAGATAGTATACCAAGTTAGATGATAAATTATATGATCACCTTAATTATAATTGACTTCAGGGACTTTGTGAAACGAATATTGTTAGGAAAACCACTTCTCAGTATCTAAACCTTCAATAAAATATCACATGCCCATTACCTTACATTAGTGGTAAATAGTAATAGAAGGTGGCTTACGTATACCACGTCCATTCGTTCCTTCCTCTAAGATCCTTGATCTTGATCCTTAAGATTTTTAGCTTATAACTCTGATTCTCTCCATTTTCTATCTCCTTCCACAATGTGCTTTGAAGATACAAAAAGTCGTTACCAAATAAGTGACTGATTCTCAATGTTATAGCTATGTACCATCCATCCATTACTGATTACACTATAACCAGAGTTTTTAAAAAGCACTGCTTACCCCTGGGGGCCATTCATATAATAAGTGTGTTGTAGAAATTGAACATTTTCTAATGATGTACATTGTAATGAAATTACATGTATTTGTCACTTAATACATATTCATATTCAGTACATGTATTTGTCACTTAAAGGTTCTTTCTGTAAACAGCTTTAGTTTCTTTTACTATTCTATTTTTCTTAGTATCTTTAAAGAACGTTAATATTCCTCTTTATAATCAGTTTTTCCCAGTTTGTCTTAAAAATGTGTTCCCTGCTTTTGCTTCAGGAGATCATTATTTGCAAATGCAAAGATTTTTTACTTAGACTTTTGAAATTACTCTTAGTAACTTCAATATTGTTTTTAGGTATGAAATTGAAGGCTGTGAAGTGATTTGGGCCATTAAAGATAAAGCTATAGGGAATACTTTCTTCGATGCAGGAGCAGCTGAATTCTTGACTTCAAAGCTCATTGCTGAAAAACCAGAGGCTAAAATTGCACAGAAAAGAACCAGATATACAACTGAAGGTAAGCGTAGCACCTAGGTCTTAATTCTCATGCAAAACTTTGTTTTAACCATATAGAAAAGGGCTACAAGAAAATTTAATAAAACAAATTTTGGAAATAGTAATATGGGTATTTATGTATCTTTACATGAAGTTTTCAGATTTTCTATTATATATATTTTATATATGTATGTATTTTATATGTACAATTAAAATAAGAAATTTAAAATGAATTGAATAACTCAGCCCATCTGCATCTTTGCAAAGAGATGCTACATTTGGGCAACACCTAAAGAAGTTTTGTAAAAAATGCAATGATAATATAAACATATTTTTTAAGTTTGATGGCTTTAAAAAATTTTTAGATCATAAAATTAAACGAGTTTTGTACATTTTGGAGGTGCTAAAAATTGACAAAATTACAAAAATTCGAAGGCTAATTTTCTTACCCTTCAGATTAACCAATGTAACATCCAAAATGTAAGTTGAGTGTGTTTATACACAACTTACACAATTGAAAGAGTATCCATTTTGTAACTCTCCATCAGAAAAATATTAAAATATGATTAATAGAGATAACATAGTTTAGTCATGCTGTAATGAATGTATATATATGAATCGTTACATTGCCTAAATAAAAAACTTCAGAACACTAACCTATTTCTCTACCTGGTAATTTTTATATTATTTAATTTCATCTCTTTAGGAAGGAAAAAGGAAGCTAGAAGCAAATCTAAAGCAGATAATGTAGGCAGTGCGTTGGGACCAGATTGGCATGAAGGCTTGAATCTTAAAGGAACAAAAGAGGTATCTTTTCATATACTGACTGGACATGTCAAAATGTAATCTTAAATTCTTGAACCATTTATTAAAGACTGGTTATAGATATATAGTCAATGAACTGCTAGGTCACTTTACTCAAAATCGATAGTGCTAGGAAGAGACTTCCAATCCAGTTGGTCCATTTGGCCACCAAAGAAAAGTGAATGTCAAAGCATCTAAGACTGGATCTCAGCCTGTGTTTTAACTCGTGAGGTGTGATACTGTAATATATATACAGTCATTCCTTGGAGTATTGCAGGTTCAGTCCCAGACCATCACAGGAAATAAAATATCACAATAAAGTGAGCCACACGAATTTTTCAGTTTCCCAGTGCATACAAAAGTTAGATTTATAACATACTGCAGCCTATTAAATGTGCATTAGCATTATGTCTAAAAAAACAATGCACATACCTTAATTTAAAGGTACTTTATTGCTTAACATGCTAGCAGTCATCTGAGCTTAGCAAATCATAATCTTTTTGTTGGTGGAAAGTTTTGCCTCAGTATTGGTGGCTGATGACTGATCAGGGTGGTGCTTGCTGAAGGTTTGGGTGGCTGTGGCAATTTCTTAAAATAACAAGGAAGTTTGTCCCATCAATTGACTCTTCCTCCATGAAACATTTCTCTGTAGCATGTGAAGCTGTTTTATAGCATTTTGCCCAGAGTAGAAGTTCTTTCAAAAGTCAATTCTCTCAAACTCTGCTACTGCTTTATCAACTAAGTGTATGTAATACTTTAAATCCTTTATCATTTCAACAATACTCATAGCATCTTCACTAGAAGTAAACTCCATCTCAGATAAGTACGTTCTTTGCTCATCCATGAGAAACAACAACTTATCTTTTCAAATTTTATCATGAGATTGCAGCAATGTAATCTCATCTTCAGGATTCACTTCTAATTATAGCTCTTTTATTATTTCTACCACATCTGCCTTTCTCCATTGAAATCTTGAACCCCTCAAAGTCATCCATGAAGATTGGAACAAACTTTTTTCAAGCTCTTGTTAATGTTGATATTTTGACTTCCTCCCTTGAATCATGAATGTTCTTAATAACATCTAGAATGGTGAATTCTTTCCAGAAGGTTTTCAATTTACTTTTCCCAGATCCATCAGATGCCTCACCCTTTGTGGCAGCTATAGCCTTATGAAATGCATTTATTTAATAAGACTTGAAAGTAAGAATTACTCCTGGATCCATGGGCTGCAGAATGGATATTGTATTAGCAAGCATGAAAACAGCATTCATCTCTTTGTGCATCTCTGTCAAAATTCTTGGGTGACCAAGTACCTTGTCAATGAGTGTAATATTTTGAAAGGAATCTTTTTTTTCTGAGCAGTAGGTCTCAATGGTGGGCTTCAAATATTCAATAAACCATGTAAACAGATGTGCTGTGTATTACTGCATTCTCACAGTATTATAAAGAAATACCTGAGAGTGGTAATATTTATAAAGAAAAGAGGTTTAATTGGCTCAAGATCCCACGGGCTGTACGGGAAGCATGACTGGGGAGGCCTCAGGAAACTTTCAATCATGGGGGAAGGGGAATTAGGCACATCTTACATGGCCAGAGCAGGAGGAAGAGAGAGAAAGAGGCTGGTGCCGCACACCTTTAGACAACCAGATCTCATGAGAACTCTATCATGAAAACCATTAAGGATGGTGCTAAACTATTGGAAACTGTCCCCATGATCCAGTCACCTCCCACCAAGC